CTTCTTCCCTGCTGTTATTAGACTGATGAATGGACTCTCTAACTTCAAATAATGCTGATCTTGCTAATGTTGATCTTGCTTAGCACATGCCCTGTGCAATGTAACCTGTATGCTTCTGTCCAAATTTTTTTTTTAACACTGTGCTTTGTGTGTTCCCTGTTTGCTATGATCTGCTGGTATTGCTTGTAAACAAAGATTTTCACTGTACTTAGGTACAGGTGACAATAAATCAAATCAAATCAAGTTTGTCGCCTGTAATAGCTCCTCCTTACCAAAGCGTGACTGCCATCCAACTCCTGTGACTCTCATCAAACCATTTTATTCACATGTTTGTGTCCAAATCTGTACATCGCTCACACGCACAGATAATTCCATCGTTTCCTCACAGTGTCTTGCTTATGACTGCTGGTGTCAATGTTACACCACATTATATATCACCAGTTTGTTATTATTTCCATTCGCACTATATTTATGGATACATTTAGAAGCACCACTTGCAGTTGGGCTATTATATACTGCTGTTGCCAATAATACAATCACCCTTAATAATGCAAACACATTTTTACAATCATTAAAGCGATGGTTTCCTTTTGCACAGTGAATAATAATCATGGTGCAGACTGGCAATATGCAATTGCCTTTGATCTATGAAGAGAGATTACAGAGTTAATGCCCCATTCAAATGCAGGGCAATGCCTCTCATTGCTTGCCTGCTGATCTATCCCTGTTTGCAATGATCGACCTGAGATGTGTTGTTGTGCAACAAGGCTTGTGATTGTAACTAAAAGTCGGGACTAAAGCTGATCACCAAGAGAATGTTAATATAATGCAAAGAGAAAAACCAATTTTGTTTACTTCTGCGGCTTTGAAGATCTTTTATGAATTACTGTACGTTGTGCTGCAATGCGGGAGAACATGCCTGAGTTAGCACATTGCTATAGCATTGAATGGATCCCAGAAAGACACTATATCTTTAAGATAGTCAGATGGCATCACAACATGTGATGCTGTAGTATAGGAAGGCTACATTCAGTCAGCAGGTTGTGTCATAACAAACAGAAAGCTGGTCAGACTCTTAATAGACCAGCCAACTACACACACATGATAATAGTATCTTAAGTGAGCATATAACTGAGACAGTACAAGTCCTGTGGCGTCGTTGTAGTGTCCCAGCCTCTGAGCCAGAAGGCCCAGGTTTAGGTGATACCTGCCCCACAGGTGCAAAATTACACGCCTGAACAGGTTGACTAAAATAACTACAACCAAACTGTATACATAAGTCTGGGATGTCATATTAGTCTATATAGTGAGTTGTGAATAAACCTCCAGATGTCTGTCTCAATATGAACCTGATTCTCTATGGGATATGATGCATGGGCTAACACATCAAAAAGCACACGATGGTAGCATGGTGGTAGGAAGAGGTCACATCAGCACAAATGGACTGAAACTCAACAGAAGTGTCCAAAACATGAGAGATACTGTGGGGAGTTAGCAAGGACAGGGAGGGTGCTAGTGACACCCACACCCCATGAAAGAATAAAGACAAGTAAAGGCACCCTGCAGTTCCATTGAAATGATAAAAACAATTGTTTTGCTTAATGTTTTGCGTGATTTCCCCAGGCTACGCTGTAGAAACATCTCGACATCGCAATTGTAGATGAACGAGGTCTATTCCACTCTGTGAAACCCAAATTCTGGAATGGGGGAGAGGGCAGGGATAGATGCTTGTTGACCACACATGAACTGCTTTTCTCTGCAAAGAGTCTTTTTTTAAATTCTGACTTGGGGTGTGGACATTTCTCACGAGGCCAGTGTTTGTCCCTTTCAAACTAAATAGTTTGCGAGGCCATTACAGAGAGCAGCTGGGAGTCAATTACACTGTTGTGAATCTGTAATCACATGTAGGCCAGGCTGAGTCAGGAAGGCAGATTTCTATTCCTAATGGAAGCACTGTCTTAGGTGGAGAGCTTGAGTAGATTGGGCCTGTATTTTAATTTTAAAAAATATGAGGCTGCCTTATTGAAACATACAAGGGTCTTAGGGGACTTGACAAAGCAGATGCGGAAAAATTGCGTCCCCTTGTGGGAGAGTCCAGGAGCAGAGGGCATCATCTCAGAGTAAGGGGTCACATAATTCTGTGGAATTCTTTACCACAGAGAGTTCTTGAGGCTGAGTCGTTCATGGCCGAGATAGACAGACTTTTAATCAGTAATGGAATCAGGGAATATGAGGAAAAAGCAGGACAGTAGCAGTGAGGGTTATCAGATCAGTAGACTCGATGGGCTGAATGGCCTAACTCTGCTCCTATACCTTAAGGATTAAAAGATATAACTAAAGAAATTGGATTTTTGCAACAAACAAGGATAGCTTCACAGCTCTGTTATGGCAGCAGCTTTTAATTCCAGATTTGTTGATTGAATTTAAACTCCACAAGTTGCCATGGTGAGATTTGAACCAACACCCGCTGACACCTTAGTAACTGGTTTACTGGTCCAGTGACATCCCCCCTGCCCCCACCCCTCCACACCATCATCTGCCTCAGTAATCATACTGGTCCTAGATCCACTGAACTCTTGGCAGCCATGATCAACCCTACCCTTCTGGGACTTACCTCTTGCTGGTGAGGTAGGTGGTTCCAAATGGGAAATCTTCCCTTGGGCCTCAGAACCCGTTTGTGTTGGCAATCCTTGGGCACCAAGTCTGTAATCAGGCCCGCACAGAAAATGCATTCCCCGGAAGTTGAAAGTAAGCAAGCTTCCCGATCATCGAGGCAGAATGCAGGATTCCGGGTTCCGCACTCTCGGATGCTCAGTCAACTGTGATGTGCAGATAAACAGAGAGAGGCTGTGCTTCACCAGGCGTGCTTTGTAAGAGTGGCAGCTCTCAGGGGGCTAATTGCAGCAACAGGCCTCATAACAAAATGCAGGAACGGTGCTCTTTAGCAAGCACAAGAACCGCACCAGAGCTGTGTTTTGAATAAGAACTCAAACCATAAATTGTTGCTTTCAGTAGGAAATGTACAACTATTTAAATGGTGCATCAAACCAGTTCAAAATTTTAAAACACAGCCAAAATTACGTTGTTCTAATTTGATCCCAATATCTTCCCTTAATGGAATTTTTTATTTCAGTCTCACTTAGGAAGTACATTAGGAATTTATCAAGGCTCTAAGTAAATTTATAATATTGCAATATGGAATACACAAAGGTCTTATCCTCATTTGTAAGCACCACAGCTTCTATGGAAAACAGAAGTGAACAGATGGAGTGTCAACCTCAGAATGCCTTTAGATTGTCAGAGAAAGTGAAAATTGCGGAAGAAATGTCTGAGAAGGGTGGGTTATATCAGGAGTCAGGTTTAACCTCAATACAGTGAGGATTTCGGGAGGAAAATATCCCATGTCAATTACCAGCGGGAGATAGTGGCTTCATGGTAATGGTATTAAGCTAATAATTCGGGTTAATACTGTGGGTTCAAATCATACCATGACAGCTAAAGCTAATCTTCATGATTGTGAGGCCATAGTTGACTCTTTCTTTTAAAGTGCATCCGGTTCATTAATGTCCTCCCTACAGGGAAGGAAATCTGCTGCCATTAACTGGCCTGGCTTACCGATGACTCCAAAGCCACAGCACTGTTGTTTTGGAATTGGTCCAGCAAGCAAAAAGGGTACATAGGATAGGTCAAATAATTATAGGTCGGTCAGTCTGACCTAGGTGCTGGTCAAATTACTAGAAACAATATGAAGAGACAGGATTAATTACTACTTGGAAAGGCATCTGTTCAGGGATAGTCAGATGGTTTTGTTAAGGGCAAGTCACATTGTACTATCTTAATTGGATTTTTTGAGTAGCCAGTAGTGGGATTGATGAGGGTAGTATTGTCAATGTTATTTTTATATATTTTGGTACAAGGTTTCACAAAGTCCCACACGGCAGACTGGTCAGAAAAATTAAAGTCCACGGAATAGGAGGAAATGTGAATCCAAGATTGGCACAGTGACAGGGGACATAGGTAATGGTTGGTGCATATTACTGAGAAATGAAAGTGGTCTCCACTGGTGCACCACAGGGCTCAGTGCTGTGTCTCTTGTTGGTTGTGGTCTATATCAATGAGTTAAATGTGGATGGCATGATTGGGAAATTTACAGTCAGTACTAAGATTCACTGGGTAGTCGATGGTGAAGATGATGGCTGTTGACTGTAGAATGATGTCAACGCCTTTGTGTGGCTGGAAACGTGGCAAATGGAATTAAATCCAGAAAAGTGTGAGGTTATACATTTAGGGATCAAGCAATAAACAGATGGGTACTGATAGGGATTGATGCAGGGAGAGACTTTGGAGGCATGATCACATGTCCCTAAAGAAGGCAGGACAGTAGACAAGGTGGTTTTCTTCATTGGTGAGGTATTGAATACAAAAGCAAGGATGTAATGCCAGAACTATGTAAAGATACAGGTTAGGCCACAGCTGGAGTTTTGTGTTCAGCTCTAGTACCACATTACAGGAAGGACATAATTACACGACAGAGTGTACAGAGGAAATTTAAAAGAATGTTGCCAGTTTGTGAAAATTTAGAATCCCTGCAGTGCAGGGACAGGCCATTTGGACCAACAAGTCCACAGTGACTCATCCCCCTACCCTATCCCTGAAACCCCACATTTCCCATAGCTAATCCACCTAACCTACATACCCCTGGTCAATTTAGCATGGCCAATCTGCCCTAACCTGCACATCTTTGGACTGTGGGAGGAAACCAGAGCACCCAGAGGAAACCCATGCATACATGGGGAGAATGTGCAAACTCCACACAGACAGGTGGCTGTGAATTGGAGAGGCTGGAATTGAACCCAGGTCCCTGGTACTGCAAGGCAGCAGTGCTAACCACTGAGCCACTGTGCTGCCCCTGCAAGAAGAAATTGTAGTTGTAAAGGAAACATTGGACAGGCTAGGGTCGTTTTCCCTAGAACAGAGGAGACTGAGGGGTAGCTCAATTGAGGTACACAAAACAATGAGAGGCCTGGATAGAGTGGACAGGGAAGGCGTCTTTACCCTAGTGGAGAAGTCAATTACGAGGAGGCACAAATTTAAAGTGATTAGTAGAAGAATTGGAGGGAACATGAGGGAAGACCTTTCATCTAGAGGGTGGTGGGTACCTGGAATTTGTTGTCCAGTTTGGTAGTTGAGGCAGATACCCTCAATTCATTTCACAGGTACATGGATCTGTTCCTGAACCATTGGAACCTGCAAGGCTATGGACTAGATGCTAGGAAGTGGCATTAGAATGGGTGGCTACATTATTTAGCTAGAATGGCTGAATGGTCTATCTCTGTGCTTTAACTTTTCTATGGTTCTAAGCCACTTCATTCAAGGGAAATTAGAATTAAGAAGGAAACATTGGTCTTGCCAGCAATATCTATATCCCAAAGATTATTTTTAAAATTGCAGGCTAGGCTCAAGATTCCACGTCTACAGGTCCCTGGTACAAACTCTATGCCAGGTTTTAAACATTCTAAGAATGAAATGGAAACATACAAGTAATGGTGCTGGAAAATATTTAACCTTTACACTGACAAGCCAATTAGAAAACTAGACTGAAGGACGCAAAACAATGCCTCCTGGCATTGGGCACATGAGAATACCAGCACACCATCCTGACTTGGAAAGCAAATAGCTGTTCCTTCAGTATCACTGGAACTTCTTCTCTAACAACATTGATAGTCCTTACACCATATGGTCTGCAGAGGTTCAAGAAGGCAGTACACCATCATCTTCTCAAGGATAACTAACAGTGGTAAATAAACACTGGCCTAGCCAGTAATACTCACATCCCCAAACAAAGAAAAGAGCCACAGAAATTTGCAGACGTAAACTGAAGTAACAAATACAAAATGTTTATGTATAAAGGGGAATAGTGGGCTCTGAAATATAGTTGACTAGATTATGCCGAGGAGACATTTTGACTAACAGCTTGATGGGAAAATAGCTTCACAACATCCTGGCACCATAAGTCAAATTATTTCACAGGGCAAACAAGAGAATTATTTGCTTTATGCCACATATTTCAGCAGGATATATTAACTTCTTGTTGTAAACCTTTCTTTAATGACTTGGACAGAGGAATATAATGTACTGTAGCCCAATTTGCAGTTGTCACTAAAATAGGTTGGAAAAGTAAGTTGCAAGGAAGAAATGAGTAATTTACAAATGGAAACGGATTAGCCAGGTGAATGGGCCAAAATGTGACAAACGGAGTTTAACGTAAATAGGTGTGAGCATTATCGAAGAAATAAATAGAAAAGTTACTATCTAAATAGAGAGAAACTTCAAATGCTTCAGTGTAGAGGGATATGGATGTCCTTGCGCATGAATCACAGAAAACTAATAGACACGTACAGCAGGTGATAAGGAAGTCAAACGGAAATTTAGCATTCATTGCTGAAGGAATGGAGCATAAAAGTAGGGAAGTGTTGTGGCAACTGTACAAGGCATTGATGAGATGACACCATGGAGCAGCGCAACTTTTTTTCCCTATGTTTCATGAAGGATGTAATTGCAATAGACGCAATTCAGAGAAGGGTCATCAAATTAATTCTAAAGGAGGAGAGACTGAGCAGTTTAGGCCCATACTCACTAGAATTTAGAATGATGAGAGGAGATCTAATTGAGGTATGTAAGATGCTAAAGGAAATTGACAAAGCAAATGCAGAGCAGATGTTTCCTCATGTGGGACAATCTAGAATGAGAAGTCAGAGTTATAGGATAAGGGGTGGCAGATTTAAAACAGAGGTGAGAAGGAATGACTTCTCTCAAAGGGCTGTGAATCTGTGGAATTCACTCTCCCAGAGTGTGATGGATGCCAGGACACTAAATAAATTTAAGGAGGGGATAGATTTTTAATCAGTAATGGCTTAAAGGGTTATGGGGAGTGGCAGGAAAGTGGATTTGAGGCCACGATGAGATCAAATGGTATTAAATTAAATGGTGGGGCAGGATTGAGGGCTGAATTGCCTATATCTACTCCTAATACTTATTTTTAAAAATGCAGGCAGAAACTTTGTTCCTGTGTCACTGAGGATAATACAAAATCCTCAGCATAACTTATGAAAAAAAAACAAATCAAGCTCTTGAAAAAAGTAATCAACTTGGTTCCATGTTAAATGTATTTTAGGAGTGGGGCTTTGTATGAAGTAACATCTGGTACCTAGCTTGTGTGAAATTGTGTTGGCCAGAACAGTGGCTCGGTGGTTAGCACTACCACCTCACAGTACCTCAATTCTAACCTCAAGTGACTGTCTGTGTGGAGTTTACACATTCTCCCCATGTCTGTGTGGCTTTCCTTCGAGTGCTCTGGTTTCCTCCCATAGTCCAAAGATGTGCAGGTTGATTGGCCACAGGAAATGCAGGGTTAAGGGGATGGCGGGGTGGGTCTGGGTTGGGATGCTTCCATACTGTAGGGATTCCGTGAAATCAGGAAGATTATAGCCAAACCTTGCCTGGACCAACCATGTAGCACCGGTGCAATAATTAAAACAATCAATAAAGCTGAGCTTGCAGCACATAACCCACAAGAAAACAGTCTGAAATAAGCCAGTGGCTCTTAAAGATTGCTGAGGCTTTCAGATGAGCAAATTGGTAAGCATTGTGGGAAAAGTAAAATAAAACATGAGGAACTAATAAAGGGGAAATTAAATTAAACACAATTGTGACACTTGCTGTGGTTCACTCTTAATTGTTTGAGACAAAAGCAATGATGAATGGTTTGTTCAAGTCAGGCTTGTGATTATCATTCCTCAGTGCAATAATTTCACAAGAATAGGATCAATGTTTCGAATAATTTGAAAAAAAAACAATCTGCCGTGGTCACTTTTGATAAATGGAAACATAACCATGAGGGATCTAATCAATTATACCAGCAGGCACTTTGGGTATCTCTAACTATATTGTAGGGCAGAACCTGGTGAAGGAGACTGGGGTCTTGGTCACTTTCCACCAAGACAGTAGGATCCCTCCATCACTTCTTCTCTGGGAAGCATTGTGTCCCCCTGAGGTAATTGGCAGGTCAGTGGTAAGCCTTGGGTTACCATGGGGGTATGAGGTCATTGGGCTGTGAGGGGTGATGGTGGAAGTGCTGGTGGCCCCTTTCTCCCTTTCATAGCCTAGAATCCATTTCCAGGGTGGACTAACTTGACTCCTTGCAGCCCCAAAAACAATCACGGCACTTTTTTATGAAGGGGTATCCACGGAGTCAGGAAAATTCTCAACACAGGCTACCCTCCTTGGGTACCAAAATACTGCCCCACATCTCACTTGGTCTAATGGCTCCAGAACATTCTGCGTTAATTAAACGACAGCAAATGTGTAAATAGAACATAGATGTCCTTTTACATTAATGTGCCTCCTTTTCTTGGGTACAAATATTTACCAAGCTGACTCATGTCAGCATGACCTCAGTATCTGCCTTTTCTACTGAAGGATTTTTGGACAGGAATTTGAAGTTTTGTGCTCATTACATTGAAGATTGCTGGCTAACGGAAAACAAATATTTCTTTTGTTTCAAAAAACGTTGGTGTCACTGGAAAAGCCAGCAATTATTGGCCATCCCTAACTGCCTGGAGAAGATAGTGTTAAGCTGTCTTCTTGAACTGTTCCAGTCTATGAGATGTAGGGACACCCACCATGATGTTAGGGAGGGAATTCCAGGATTTTAATCCAACGATGCCAAAGGAACAACAAAGTATTTCCAAGTAATGATGGTGAGTGGCTTGGAGGGGAACTTGCGGGTGGTGGTGTTCCCGTGTATCTGCTGCCCTTATTGTTCCAGGTGGTGGAGGTTTTGGGTTTGGAAGGTGCTGCAGGAGAAGGCTTGGTGAGTTATACCAGTATCTCTTGCAGTTGGTACACACTTTTGACAATGTGAGTTGATGGTGGAGTGCATCGACGTTTCAACTGGTGGATCGAGTGCCAATCAAGTGGGCTGACTTTGCCCTGGATGGTGTCAATCTTCTTGAGTGTTGTTGGAGCTGCACCCATTCATGCAAGTGAGGAGTATTCCAACATGCTCCTGAGCTGTGCCTTGTAGATGGGCAGACAAGATTTGGGGAGATAGGAAGGTGAGTTTCCTCACCCTTTTGTTTTATTCATTCGTGGCATGTGAGCAGCATTTATTGTCCATCTCTAACTGCCAAGAGGGCAGTTAAGAATCTATTCCATTGTTGTGGATGTGGACTCACATTTAGGCCAGATTAGGTAAAGATGGCAAATTTCCTTCCCTAAAGGACATTAGTGAATCAGATGGGCATTTTATGACAATTGACAGTGGATATATGGTCACCATTGGAATAGGTTTTTATTCCAGTTTTATCAAATTGAATTCAAAGCCATATCCATGGAAAATTAGCCTGAAGTTACTAGATTACTAATCTGGTGACTTTGTCACTGCATCACCATTTCCCCATGCTCTTATTTACATGGATGGTTTAGTTGAGTTTCTGGTCAATGGTAACTCTCCGAACGTTGACACTGGGGGATTCAGCAATGGTAATGCCATTGAATGTTAAGAGGCGACGGCTAGATTCTCTCTTGTTGGAGAATGTCATTGCCTGTCACAGTGTGACGCGAACGTTGCTTGTCGCTTATCAGCCCAAGAGCACCCAATCCTAATGTAAATAGAACTATTATTATCTGAGAAAATGAACCATCAACCAGCTTCAGTAATGCTGGATAGCTCCATAATGTGGTTCCTGTCAGTTAAATTCTCTGAGCAATGACAAGAGAATATTTTTTATAAACTGAAAAGTATATGATGCAATGATACAATAGCTTTAGTGTATGTGCTGACCACTATAACCAAAGGTAGTCTGTACCCGTCCATTACCATTATTTCAACATTGATAAGCTACATTTGTTTTGACATTGAATTCATATAACAGAGCAGTGCCTGAAAGTTGGTGATTTATACTGGTGACAATAATACTCAGGAATGCATAAAAGTAATCCGAAACTTTTGCGAATGAGCATCGAATTCTGGAAGCCATCTGGGACTGCTCAGAATCTCTGGATGTGGTTCGTTGTTCTTCAAAGCATGGTATCAATCATTTACTGAGACAAGATAAGAATAATGTAGTAATGTTGAGCCAATGAACTTGTGCTGTACGCATCTGGTCCAAGAGCAAATTTGCCTGGGATGGGGAGAAATGTGAGGAACATTGTTACAATTTCCACTGATGAGGAATTTACTGTCAGGAAGACAAGTCTTCTTTCCTCAGCTTCTGGATCTCTCCTCCGTCTTCTTCAGTCTACCTGTACTGTACCATTGGAGGCAGCAGCTGAGCTCAGCTGCTCAATGGTTTCAACCTGTGTCAGTCTTCTGGAAGTTTTGGTTTCCAATCTTGGGGCAGGCTGGTGGCTCAGTGGTTAGTACTGCTGCCTCATAGCGCCAGGAACACAGGTTTGATTCCACCCTCGGGCAACTGCCTGTGTGGAGTTTGCATGTTCTCCCCGTGTCTGTGTGGGTTTCCTCCGGGTGCTCCCGCTTCCTCCCACAGTCCAATGATCTACAAGTTAGGTGGTTTGGCTGTGCTAAATTGCCCATAGTGCCCAGGTATATGCAGGCTAGGTGGGTTAGCCATGGAAAATGCAGGATTATAGGGATTGGGTGGGCTGCCCTTCAGAAGGTCACTCAATGGGCTGAATGGCCTGTTTCCAAACTGTACAGATTTTATGAATCTGAATTGCAGTCTTAGTCTCCTTTGAAATTGGGAGAGGTTAATTTCATTACTCAGTTTTCCTCTTCAGTTAGGGTACATCTCAAAAAAAAAATAACTTCTGAAGCACAAATTCTGTCACAAAGCTACCTTTCTTTTGTCTGTTTATGGGATGAGAGTATCGCTGGTTACTGCCCATCCCTCATTACCCTGGCAAAGATGGTGGGGAGCTGTCTTCATGAACCACAATTCCTTAGGTACCTCCACAGGGCTGTTGGGAAAGGAATTCCAGGATGTTGACCCAGCAACAGCAAAGGAACTGTGACACTGATCCAAATCATGGCTGTGCATGGCTTATAAATGCTGGTCTTTTCTTTTAAGGTGGTATACATCACAGGTTTGAGAGATGCTGTTAAAAGAACATTGACGAGTTTCTGCAGTGCATCTGGTAGATGGTATACACTGTTGTCTCTGTGTGTGGGTGGTGAAGGGCGTGAATGTTGAAGGTGGTGGATGGGGAGCCAATCAAGCAGGCTGTTTTGTCCTTGATGGTGTTCAGCTCCTGAGTGTTGTTGGAGCCACATTCATCCAGATCAGTGGTGAGTATTCCATCACACTCCTGTGCCTATAGATTACGACAGGCTTTGAAGAGATAAAAATTAAGTTACTCACTATAGATTTCCTAGTCACTGTATTTATAAGGATGGTCCAGTTCAGTTTTTGGATAATGCTGTCCTCCCAACTACCGTCCTAAGATCTTAATAGTGAAGGCTTCAGCGACGCTACTAGGTTTGGATGTCAATGGTGATAGTTAGCTTCTCTCTTGTTGGAGATGGTCATTGCTTGGCATTTGGGTGGCTTAAATGTTACTTCCCACTGGTCAACATGAGCCTGGATGTTGCCCAGCTCTGACTGCATTTGGACATGGATTACTTCAATATTGGAGGAGTTGTGAATGACACAGAACGCTGTGAAATTACCAGTGAACATCCCAACCTCTGATCTTACAATGAGGAGGCTATCAATGACGAAGCAGCTGAAGATGATTGGACCTTGGACACTATCCTGAGGAACTCCTGCAGAGATATCCTGGAGATGAGATGATTGACATCTAACAATTACGACCATTTCCCTTTGTGCCAACCTACTATAGGAAGGATGTTATGAAGCTTGAAAGATTTCAGAAAAGATTTACAAGGATGTTGCCAGGGTTGGAAGGTTTGAGCTGTAGGAAGAGGCTAATAAGCTGGAGCTATTTTCCATGGAGGGTTGGATGCTCAGGAGTAACCTTATATAGATTTATAAAATCATGAGGGGCATGGATAGGGTAAATGGACAAGGGCATTTCCTCCAGATGGTCGAGTCCAAAACTACAGGGCATAGGTTTAAGGTGAGAGGAGAAAGATTTAAAAGGGACCTAAGGGGCAACTTTTTCACACAGAGAGTGGTGTGTGTATGGAATGAGCTGCCAGAGGAAGTGGTGGAGGCTGGTACAATTACAACATTTAAAAGGCATCTGGATGAGTATGAGTAGGAAGGGTTTAGAGGGATATGGGCCAAATGCTGGCAAATAGGACTAGATTAATTTAGGATATCTGGTCAGCATGGACGAGTTGGACCAAAGGGTCTGTTTCCATGCTGTACATCTCTATGACTCTACTTGACTACAACCAGCAGATAGCTCTCTTCCCTGTACCCATGACACCAGTCTGCCAGGGCTCCTAGATGCCAGACTCAGTCAATGGAGGCTTGATGTCAAGGGTAGTCACTGTCATCTCCCATATGGAGTTCAGCTCTTTTTGTCCAGTTTTGGACCAAGGCTGTAACGAAGTGAGGAGCTGACTGGCCCTGACAGAAGCCAAACTGAGGGTGGGTGAGATTTTCCTTTGGGAGTGCTGTTTGATAGCACTGTTAATGACACCTTCCAGCACTAGCTAATGATTGAGAATAGTCTGTTGGGTGGTATCTGGCTGCATTTGATTCATCCTGCCTTTGTGGACAGGATATAACTGAAGCAACCTTTGGAAGATGCCATGCTGTAGCTGTACTGGAATAGATTGTCTAGGGGCATAGCAAATTCTGGACACAAATCTTCAGCAACATTGGCTGAATGTTATTTCGGCCCGTGGTCTTTGTGGTATCCAGTGTTTTTAGCTGTTCCTTGATATCACGTGGAGTGAATCGAATTAGGTGAACACTGGTATCTCTGCTGCTGGTGATTTCAGGAAGGCACTTAGATGAATCATTTTCTTGGCACTTCTGGCTGAGGTTGGTTGCAAATGCTTCAGTCTTATCTATTACTCTGATATCTTGGGTTCCTCCATCATTAAGAATGGAAATACCTGCGGAAGACTTGATATTGATGGAAGCATTTCCACCGACACAGCCTTTACAGCAAAACTTACCAGCAACATAAATTCTGCAGACACAATGATTTAAGGCAAAATATCATTTATCAAACCCGAAAGTAAGTCCACATTCACGGCTAATAGGAACAAACTTTGACTGTTTGGAGAAACTTGAGATTGGACACTTTCTGAGATAACAAGGTGTAGAGCTGGATGAACACAGCAGGTCAAGCAGCATCAGAAGAGCAGGAAAGCTGAAGTTTCGGGCCTAGACCCTTCTTCGGAAATGGGAGAGGGAAGGGGGTTCTGAAATAAATAGGGAGAGAGAGGGAGGCGGATAGAAGTTGGATAGAGGAGAAGATAGGTGGAGAGGAGACAGACAGGTAAAAGAGGCGGGGATGGAGCCAGTAAAGGTGAGTGTAGGTGGGGAGTTAGGGAGGGGATAGGTCA